ATATTATAATTTTCATATTCAAAAATATTTATTTATATAAGTTTTAAATATAATAATTTATAATAAATTATAATTATATATAATATATATTTGACATGTGTATATATTAAAATATTAGTTAAAATTATAAATAAAAATTAATTTTCGGATATTAAAATTAGAAAGACATTTTATTGCTGGTGACAGTTTTGCTTATTTTTTTTTATTATATTCCTTTTTATTGTTCTTGCCCATTTTTCATTACATATTTGCTGGTTTTCGGCACGCGTGCCCTTGGTTTTGTATCCCCAACGGCTATATTATTCTCCAACCTCTACCGTCAGATGTGTAGAATCCAACGGTTCATAACGGCTAAAAAAATTGATCGTTGAAGGGAGAAGCGTCGCGTCCTTCTGCTTCAAAAGAGAAAGCCTATTTCACTATCCCCTCTCATCTCATTCACACACTCAACCAACGCACAGAGAGAGACAGAGAGTGTGAGGGAGAGAGTTTCTACTCGGATTCAAACTTTGATTTCAACACCAAAGAAGAATTTCCCAAATGGCATCAAGAGCAGTCCTTCCACAACATGCCAGAGGTTTGTCTTTTTCAATCATTTCATTTTCTTTGAACGAATCTTTGGTGTCTCATCCGTTGGGGTGGTTAGTTCAAAACTTCAAATTTACCTTTAAGTTAGATCTTGGGGTTTCTGGGTTTCTTTGTATATTGCTTGGAACATTCAAATCTGTTTTAATAAAAGATTAGTTTTAGTGTCCCTTCCCTTGGTTTAGTTAGAGACTCTCGTGTTTTTATGTTGTTGGGATTATTTTACGTGTTGCATGTGAATCTGTGTGTATATGTCGCAAGTTATCTATTTTATCACCTTGTGGAATGAGGGGCTTTTTTCTCAATCCATAGGTGAAGCAGTAGTAGGGGGAGGAAAACAACAACAGAAGAAGAATGGTGTAGCAGATGGTAGGAACCGCAAAGCATTAGGTGATATTGGGAATTTGAACAATGTAAGAGGAGTTGAAAACAAGGTTGAAGTCAAACCTCATCGCCCCATCACAAGGTTTGTTTTCTTTTTCTTTTTCTCTTTCACTTTCACTCATTCATTCAAATCAATCAATATTAAATTGGTAATTTATGATTCTTTTAGGAGTTTTGGTGCCCAATTACTTGCCAATGCACAAGCAGCAGCTGCTGCTGAGAATATTAAGGTTAACTACCCTCTATATTATTTGTTTCATTCGACTTTTGTTGATTGCTCAATATGATTTAATTTTATCTTATCACTTTATGATGGTTTTTGTTTTGGAATTACAGAAACAAGCTTGTGCTAATGTGCCCGGAGCCCCACCTGCTGCTAATGCAGTTGCAGTGGCCAAAAAAGTGGCCCCCAAACCGGTTCAGAAGAAAGTCACTGTAAAACCAACACGTGATGAAGTCATCGACATTGAATCTAGTCCAGACAAGAATGCCCAGAAAGACAAGAAAAAGGAAGGAGATTCCAACTCCAAGAAGAAACACACTCTTACTTCTGTGCTCACAGCTCGAAGCAAGGTATGTTAATATAATAAAAATAACTGTCTGAAATAATCATGCCACTGTGCCTCATATTTATTTATTTTTACATGTTGTGATGTTCTATTGCAGGTAGCATGCGGCATAACTAAGAAACCAAAGGAGCAGATTATTGACATTGATGCTGGTGATGTCGACAATGAGCTTGCTGCTGTGGAGTACATTGATGAAATCTACAAGTTCTACAAGCTTGTTGAGGTATCAAAGCGTGTGGTTTCATTTGATCTATTTTTGTGTCATGTGATGTGTTTGATGTGATGAGGTTCTAATATGTGAATGTGTGCATTTGATGTATGAAGAATGAGAGCCGCCCTCACGACTACATAAACTCACAGCCTGAGATAAATGAGAAGATGAGAGCTATACTGATTGATTGGCTGATAGATGTTCAATCCAAATTTGAACTTTCTCTTGAGACCCTATACTTGACCATCAACATCATAGACCGGTTCCTAGCAGTTAAGACTGTTCCAAGGAGGGATCTGCAATTGGTTGGCATCAGTGCCATGCTGATGGCATCCAAGTATGAAGAAATATGGCCCCCTCAGGTATCTATTTGTTTTATTCAATGTCGCGTTGGCCTTTTCAATGTATGTCAAGACCAAGATAAGAAAACTAGGGAATAACTCTTTTGTTGCATTGCAGGTTGATGATTTTGTCTGCCTCTCAGATAGGGCTTACACTCATGAACAGATACTAGTCATGGAGAAAACCATATTGGGCAAGCTAGAGTGGACTTTGACTGTGCCTACACCTTTTGTTTTCCTTGTTCGTTTTATCAAGGCATCAGTCCCAGATCAGGATGTGAGTGTGTGTGACTTTTTTTTTTTTTTGTTTTTTTTTTCTCAAATCTTTTAATATATATTTCTTTCTTTATTTTTGATGTCTTGTCTGAATTTTTTTTCTTCTGAATTTTGGCAGTTGGAAAACATGGCCCATTTTCTGTCTGAGTTGGGAATGATGAATTATGCGACCTTAATGTATTGCCCATCAATGGTTGCTGCCTCAGCAGTCTTTGCAGCTAGATGCACTCTCAATAAGACCCCCCTTTGGAATGAGACACTTAAAGTGCACACCGGTTACTCACAAGAACAACTTATGTATGTTACAAATATATGAACTTTATTTGGACTTTACTATATTCTTCATCGTGTAAATTTTAGTTATTTTATTTTGCTTTGCTGGTTTAAACAGGGATTGTGCTAGATTATTGGTGAGCTTTCACTCCGATGTTGGAAATGGAAAGCTGAAGGTTGTGTACAGGAAGTATTCTGATCCTCAGAAAGGATCCGTTGCTGTGCTCCCACCATCTAAATATCTTCTGCAAGGAGGTTCTGCCTCCCAATTGAGTTGAAGAAGCAAAGGGAGAAGCACTTATAGAGTTATGCGGAATAACCATTTGTATTTTTTCCCCTTAATTTTTTCATAAGCCATTTGTACTGGATTACCAAGATGAATTATACAAGTTGCAAGTTTTCCACTTGCCAATTCCTTCATCATTCTTGTCTAACTTAAGAAGTGCAATCAGGTGCAATTTTACAGGTTAAAACTTTAAGGTTTAAAACATCTTGAAATATTTTTTTTTTTTGAAAACACCTTATTGCTATGGAAATTGCATATTGTGTTTTTTAATAACAGAGAAATTTTTTCAGATTGCTATAAGGATAAATTAATGATGTTATTGTTCTATTAAAATTGAAGTTTTACTTTTTTTAAGGATAAAATCAAATTTTACTTCAATAATATAAAGGTTGACATTTAATAAAATCATTTATCACGTATATTGAGCACCAATAACAATTAAAAGGGTTAAAACATATTTGATTTTTTAATTTTATCCACCTTTACCCAAGTTTTCTTCTTTCAAAATATAATTTTTTTGTTTTTAAATTTTAAAAATTACAATATAATTAAAATTTAAAAATATACTCGTTTAGAATTCGGTTATGAAAAACTCAAATTCTAAACGGTACATAAAAGAGACGCATTACAATTCAATTATGAATTCTAGTAAGCATGAATTTTTTCAACTCCAAAGTCACACTTTAACAATGAAGGAGAGTCAATCAATATATAAATTTGGGAGAGGCCACTTCGATATATTTAAAAGTACATAGAGTCAGTTTTATATAAAAAAAATCAATATATTTTAATTAATTTACACAACGACAATTTATAATCTTATGGATGAATTTATTATGGAGTAAAAATAAATATGGTAACATTAAAAACATCAAAATTATTTTATAAAAATAATAAAATTATTTTATTTTTGGTTTTATATAAAAACATTGAACAACTAATTCACTTTTTATTTGTTTCATTTTATGAGGCTATTTTAATTGTGGATTGTATTAATTATATCTCTTCTAAAATATTTTTATTTAATTAACAATTTTTTAGATAAAAGATAAATAAATATATAAATATTTATCTTCTAAATATTAACTAGTTAAGTGATAAATGATTAAATAAAAAGAGTGAGAATTAAATAGTTTAAAAAACGGGACTATAATTTATAATTATATTATTCCGTGATGGATTGAGCCCAATTAAAAAACTGCAACGAGAATTGGACCATTATCGAATTGAACGCAAAATCCTTGGCCCAAAAAAGCGAACTGTCACTAAAACCCTCCACCTCCAAGCAAGGACTTTACTACGAAACTACGAAGAGCTTGCAATACTGTGCTACTGCCTACTGTTACGAACTCTTTAATAAATTTAAAAAAGAAAAAAAAGAAAAAAAAACACTACGAACTTGAACTTGCGCAGAGGGGTTTCGCTCTTTCTCTTTCACAACACCTTGAGTAGAGTTCCCAAAATGCCTTCGAGTTCGAGTTCAAAGTCGAAAAAGAAGCACTCCAAGGCGCAGCAGCAGCAGCACTCATCGTTGGCCTCCAATGCCACCGCGCCTTCCAAAGCAACGCGCCAACCGCACGAGCTCACCTCTTTATGCGAACGCGCTTCTCGAAGCTTCCCTTCTCTCATCGCAAATTCCGCATTCGTCGCCGAAATCACCCATGTCGACGACACCGTTCCCGTTTCTAAGGGCTTCAGAATTTGGCTCTCCGAACCTTCCATGCTCTCCTCCTCTCTTCCCCCCGGTTCCATCGTCTCGGTAATCGCCGCAATAATCTTCCGTTCTTTCTTACAATATTTACTTCTTATGTCTCAATTTTAGGTTTACTTCACAATTGCTTGCACCTACGCTTTGTATTGTTTAAATAATTTTTTAAAATTAATTTTAATATCTGTGGTGTTATGCTTGATTGATTTTCAGGTGTCTATTCCATCTCCAGGGGAGGAAAGTTCGCAATTGCATAGCTTTCCCCTCGCGTCGTTAGCTAATGAATGTGTCAAATTCTATGAATTGGAAATTGGCAAGGCATTGGATGATGATGATGCAGGAAACTACTTTGTGCTTGCAACAGTGTTTCCTTCTAGTAAGGTTTGTCTTGCTACTATTTCTTTTTTAAATTTATTATATGTTATATTTGAGAGATTATGTATATTGTATGTATAACAGTGGATCTATCTTTACCAAAATCTTATACTTTATTACATTTACATAGGTTTTGAAGAATGGAGTACGTCTGTCTTCAAACCTTTATTATACCATGGGATGTCCTCCTTTGGGCACGAGTGTGTTTGTTCATCCAATACGGAAACAATTCTTGTCTAGTTTTGCCAATGGGAGCAATGAACAGCATTCTACAGAAAATAATTGTCTGTCTATATATAATTGCAAGGAACTGTATCTTCAGCTGGTTCCTTCTAAGAATGGGCAACCGTTGAAATTTAATAACTTTCCCTCATTAGATTTGTCTAAGAGGAAATCCCATGTCCAATCTGAGAATGATATTGTTGCATCCCCTGCTACACCTTCTTATGGATCAAAGTTTTCTAATGCTAGTGGGCTGTCTTCTCCACTATTTGAAGATTCAGTGTCTAGTGTGCCCAAACAGAATAGTCAACCATTGATTTCTTTTGATGTAAACTTAGCTTTGGGGGATGAAAGTTCTAAAAAATTACTACAGACTTGTGCAACTTCATGGCTCTATTCTCGATCTTTACTGCTAGGGAATCTTGTCAATGTCCCAATGTTTTCAGAGTTGTGCATTTTCCAAGTGATAGGAGCTAAGAAGGAGCCAGTTACCAGATCTGATCACTATCCATCAAATGGAAGCAGTGATTTATATCTTGAGGATTCTGATATAGCAGACAGTGTAAATCAGGCTTTCACCGTTAATTATGAAACAAAGGTGTTTTTGTCTCTGCCATCAAATGTAGTGTCTGAAGAGCCAATTCAAAGGGATATACCTTGCGTGAAACTAGAAGACATAGTTACTAACACTAGCTTACGTGATAATATCTCTAAATTGGGTGGTCTATCCAAAGAGTATACACTATTAAAGGACATAATTTCATCATCAGTGAACAGTGCTTTATCAAGGTAGGTCTTCTCTGATATGGAATTTGATGTTTGTTTCCTTGCCATAGATTGTCTGTTGTTCTATGCATCACATTATGTTTGGTGGATTCATGTAGTGCTGTGCTGACTGTTAATTAATGTTCCTTCTGCAACTTCATTATATTTGGTGGATTCATGTTATATTTGAGACGAAGGTTTAATATTTTCTATATTTGAAATATATGTTGTATATGTCTCACTAAGATATCCCTTATGCAGTGTTTCGTAAAGAGGATGGAAATAGAGGGAGAGGAAGTAGGCAGAGAAAAATTGAAAAGAAGAGAAACATCTAAGAAACTGTGTGGAAATAGAGGTTGTTTGGTTGAAGAAAAATAGAGTGGAAGTTAATTTTTTGAAAGGATTTTTATTTATTTATTTTTCGTTTTTTTACCATAACTCCCACATATTATTTTTGTTTTCTTTTTATTATTATTATTATTGGGGTGGGAGGAGCTGTGTTATTGTTAATCGATTAAGAGTGAGAGTGAGGGGATAGGGAGGGGGAGGCTTTGTTATTCGATTATGGGTGGGGAGGGGGAATGTTAAGTGATTATGTGATTAATTGATTATGTTGATGGTTAAACAAAAAGCAACATAATTGATTGTATTGCAATAAATAGCCTAATTTTTTTCCCCTTAAGTTTTTTTTTTTTTTTTTTTTTTTTTGTGGTCAAGGATAGCTAGCATACCTCTTAAGTCTTCGTACTCCCAATATAACAAATCTTCTTTACTGTGTTCATGTTTACTTTTCTCTACTTAATGTGTTGTTTGTTTGAAGTTCCCTAAAACATGGGTTGCACGTTTGCTGGTTTTTTCATTACTCTTTGTGAATTTTTAATTTAATGGACATAGTGTTCTCCAGGACTCTATACAGACCCAGAACTGTGTTGTCCATAGTCTTAAACATAGTTTATATTGAGGTAGTCAAAGGCAGAAGGCGCTTGTGGTTTTACATGGTCAAGAGGTGCAAAACAGGGAATGCCTTGCTGAAGGAAGATTATAACATTAGTTATTGAAGAACCAGTTAAATATTATATCATTTTGCAAAAATTTCCATATAATCTTATTACTCAAGCATAACATTCATGGTAAAATAAAAGATTAAATTGTGCTGGGTCCCAAAGACATTTTTTTTTATAGTCTGACTATTTTTCCCATTTAGCTCATTACCTCAGATCATCTTAGCTTCACCTTTTGGCTTCTTTGACAACACTAGTTTTATGCCACTCATTTCATAGGGCTTGTTTGGATAAGCTTCTTTAGAAGCACTTCTAGGAGAGAGAAATATGAAAGAAAATTAAATTAAGTTTCTACATAAGTTAAAATTAGTTTATGCATGAGTTAAAAAGCTAATTTTGGAGAAGCTAATAAGAGAAAATTTTTACAATTTAGTTTGTGCACAAGCTAATTTTAAGCTAATTTTAGCTTATAGAAAAGTATATTTCATTTTTCTTTCGTATTTTTCTCTTTTAGAAGTGCTTATGGAGAAGTTTACCCATATAGACCCATATTCCAATGGAAGAGGGCATTTAGCTCTTTTGCTTCAGAAGCATATTTGGAGCATCCTCTGCTCTTGTACTTTATTTCTCTTTCTAATGAATTTCTTCTTTTTATAGAAAAAAAAGTCTACTGGGAACTTAAAGGGTCTTTGAATATATGTCTATTCATTGAAATATTTTACACCTTAATATTAAATATTTGAGAGTTTTGAGTGTTCTAACATTCAGTTTAAAGCAATACCTTCTCCCTTGTTTTGTAATTGTTTATTTTCATTTAATTAAATCTTATTCTTACACTTTAACTCTCTGTAAATAACTTTCTTTTGTTACGATCATTTTTTTTTTGTATTTTTTTATATTAATGGATATAACTGTTAGAATTTTACTCATAAGAGAAAGGCATGCCCTTCATAGAAGTCAGCAACTGACAGTGACAGCTCTTCTCTGGATATCATTTTTGGGTGATATTTATTAGTTTGTGGAAAGATAAAGTTCAAGTGGATATCTCTTGTTAATTTAATTTGCGCGCGCGCACACACACACACACATATATATAATCATGTTTTTTTTATATGATTCAGTTAATTCTTTGTTTTATTGTCAAAGTGAGTACAGCTGCATGGTAGGTTTTCAACTTTTAATATAGTCAATTTATTCAAATTTGAATTTGAAATTCAAATTTTGGCACCACCTTGAAGCCTTAAGAGTTGGCGCCACTTTCACTTGATTCGTGGCTTATTTAAACTTGATTTCTCTCATTTGTAATCACTTTTGAATGCTAAGAGAATTTCTGAAAATTGTTCAGCCTTATTCTCTCTCAAAGGTCACCGGAATACCTCACCCTAGTCTTAGGAAAACCTACCATTCCTAACCTTGAAGTGAGCTTTCCTTTGAGTCTTTAGCTTGGATGCTTCCATCCTTAGCCTAGGACTCTTCTCTATTCGTTTCTCTCTTCTTTCCTAATCAATCAATCGGTGGATTTCTCAAGGATAAGATCATTGCATCCGGAGGAGGTCAAAGGAGCAAGAACACGTCCATTGTTCCAACCTACTCCATCAGGGTTACTAATGTTTTGAGCTTCATTCTATGTTGTTTATTGTAAATTATCCATGTATATATGTATATGTGTGTGTATGCTTCTTATGTTGTATTTGTGGTTGTCTATCCTTATCTCACACTTGGAGCATGAGTAAATGTATGTCATTCCCTTGTTTAAATTTGTGTTGTCAAGTTTTTTGTTTGGTTGAACACTATGGTAGGTGAGGACCATCAGGATAACAATGGTAATGATGTGTCTTGAAGCCTTGGTCATGTGTATGGGTGATACTTTGATAGGATGTGATATCGAAACTTTTGGTTTATGTTTCTTTCAAATTTTCATGTTGAAACTTTTTTATAACTTATCTAGGACCCTTTGTTATTCTCTCTTGATATTGTAATGGTCATTAGAGTGCCAAAGTCTTTTATTCATCATTTTTTTCCTTATTGTACTTATAGGGTTATTTAACAACACAATTGAGACTTGTTATTTCCTTTGTTTATATTAGATACCTTTTTGGAATTATGTCTATTGTGATAAATGAATATGAGTCCTCAATCCCCAATGCATTTTAAAGAAAGATATTTTTGTTGTTTTTGACTAAAATATTTTTATCTAGGACAACCTTTTTTTTGTTTAATATATGTATTAGCTAGAAGAGTAAAAGGTGACACACTAGGCCATAGACTCTTATTGAGTGATCTAACTTAGTTCCATCCTAATTATAGGAAAAAACCTATTATTTTAATAAATTAATTAACTTTTATTTTAAAGTATAAAATAACAAATACATTATTAAGATGAATAAATATATTTTAATATGGTAATAAAGTTTTATTTCAAAATTATAAGATAATAAAAATTGTTATAGTAAATAATTTTTTATAATATAAAATAATAAACTAATTAAATTTTATTCAAAAATTGTAAAATATTAATAAATTGTTACAATAAACATATATTATTTATGGTAATACATAATTAGTTCTCGTATTTATTGGACTATATGTTATGCTCATTGTTGCGTATACAACTACTATTGGAGAGGGGATGGATGGAATTAGCAGAACTGAAGGGCTACTTGTAATTGCTGCCACTAACCGGCCTGACCATATTGAGCCAGCTCTCAGACGACCAGGAAGATTTGACAAAGAAATTGAAATTGGTATGAACTAAGCTAATATCTCCCTGTAAATAGTATGTTATTATCTTAAAACACACCTATTTACTTAACTTTATAAATTTTACCCCTACTTCTGCCTCCATATGTTACTAATAGCTATGCCAACTTCAAGCTTTATCTAGCTTTATATGTGAACAGAGTGCAATTTCTACATCATTCATCTGGGATGTATTCCAACTAGATATCTTTAGATTTAGAGGAATATCCTGGAAAGAAAATATTTTATAAAAAATTGAAAAGAACTGGTACAAAATATATTGCTATTTCTTTTCATTGCAATATCTAAACTTTTATTATTTTACTACTCATAATATGCTGTTTAGTTGATTATATTCTGATACAAGACTGCCAATTTGCAATGGGGAGATTTCTAGACTTACTATTCGCTAATGACTTGGTAATAAAATTATGCTTTTTTATATATTGTCTGGTTAAGTTTGAGTTTGTAAGCTTTTATTACATATAACCCTACTTATAATGTGTATATGCACACACTTGCGTGCCCAACAGTTGAGCTAGTGTTTCCTTGCAAATTTTTCTATCCCTCTGTCAACATGGTATTTAAATTTTCTTAAAGTACACCCTTGAATATAAATGCCCACTAATCTAACAGCATATAGTATGCCTTAACTATTCAGTTTTTTGCAGTGTTGTATAAAAAGAGCATGTAGGATACATTATCATGACCTTTCTTGGAGTTGAAAACATTTTTTTATGTGTTGATTTAAATTTAGGCTCTTTAGCAATATCTGCCATTGGTAGTTATGCAATCTAAATTAATTCTGCTTTATTGTATGAAGTGACCTACCTAATAGCAATATCTGCCCTTTCACAATTCACAGAAGACAAAATTTAATGCTGCTTGTGTGTAGTTGTTGATTTGCATGTTCATGAAACATATACCTGTAAAATATTGTTAGTCTGAACATGGCATTTTAGGCAATAGATCTGTTTTAAATACTTCAATGGATTTACAGAAGAACTCATTTATTATACAACTTCACCTCTAATCCATATGCAGGTGTGCCATCCCCCAAACAACGTTCAGATATTTTGTTCACTCTTCTCAGTGAAATGGATCACACACTTTCTGAGTTACAAATTGAACACCTTGCCACAGTCACTCACGGTTTTGTGGGTGCTGATCTAGCTGCCCTTTGCAATGAAGCAGCCTTAATTTGTTTACGACATTATGCTAATTTTAAGACTTATGGTTCTTGTTTTGATAACGTAACAGAGCAACCTGCTCTGATGAATGGTGCAACAAACTCAATAGATTATTCAGGTGGTGCATCTTCCTGCAAGATGGGAACAACTTCTGAAACTATAGAAATAACTCTTGATAGTGGTGAAGAAGAGATTTTGAAAGTAAGTTTTGAAGATTTTCAGAAGGCTCGGATGAAAATAAGACCTAGTGCCATGAGAGAGGTATGGTTAATGCCATGAGTTGTATTTTTGGAATCAGTTTTTGATAAAATTTATTATCTGTGCTTCAAGATCTGTCTTATACTTATTGATTTGGGCTTATTTTGGTGGTCCCAAATTTTTCGTTTATCCCTTTCAAGTTTCATATAATTATTTACCTTAGTTTCCTAAATGCATAACCTGTCTCATAAAAATTACTTGTACAAGGAATGCCATCTCTAATCAATGCCTTCATTCAACTGTGATTTGTCACTGGTTGTGATCGGGATAGTCAGTTTACAAGGTTGAAGTATTCACGTCTAAGGAATTTCTTTCAAATAAATTGCTAAATCTCTTTGTATTTTCTTTTATCTACACTTTATTTGATACAAACTATTAAAGTTGAGGAACTTGTGATCACAAGGCATTGCACTATAGTGAGATCTGAGGAATATTCTGTTCAAGTATGGTTGTTGTGAATAACATGATTAGACAAATACAGATCAGGATTTACTACATCAATTTTTAATGAAAAAGGATCATAATTCTGTTGTCAAATTTTTCTCAACTCAGGTAATTCTTGAGGTTCCAAAGGTTAATTGGGAAGATGTTGGCGGTCAAAAGGAGGTCAAAGCTCAATTGATGGAAGCAGTTGAATGGCCACAGAAACACCATGAAGCATTCAACCGGATTGGGACTCGGCCTCCTACAGGTGTATTGTTGTTTGGGCCTCCAGGTTGCAGTAAAACCCTCATGGCACGTGCAGTTGCTTCCGAAGCAGGTCTGAACTTTCTAGCAGTCAAGGGTCCTGAACTCTTCAGCAAATGGGTTGGCGAATCTGAGAAGGCTGTCAGATCATTATTTGCAAAAGCTAGGGCCAATGCCCCATCAATAGTATTTTTTGATGAAATAGATAGTCTTGCTGTAACTCGTGGGAAGGAAAGTGATGGTGTATCAGTGTCAGATAGGGTCATGAGTCAACTTCTTGTTGAGTTGGATGGTTAGTAATGAATCTTGAGCATTGCATGTGATTACTTATATATATATTGCTTAAAATGTAAGATAACTGGTAAACTGCTTGTTGCTCATTCAATTTGTGTATACATGATGATTTGATATCTGTTGATCAGAAAATGAAATTTTGTTAAATCAGTTTTTCTTTGAACTTTGGACAGATCATATTTTTCTTTTGACAAAAACTTTGTGACAGGTCTGCATCAAAGAGTTAATGTCACTGTCATAGCTGCTACAAATAGGCCGGACAAGATTGACCCTGCCCTCTTAAGACCAGGTATTCTCTCTCCTGTTATTGTCTATGTCTCTTACTCATATGCCCATGCAGATACATGAAGGTGGATGCATTGGCGTTGTGTAAATAGCTTATGTTTCAAATGACTGATGTAAACAGGACGCTTTGACCGTCTGCTATATGTTGGACCTCCAAATGAGGTGGACAGGGAAGAGATATTTCGTATTCATCTGCAGAAAATCCCATGTGGTTCTGATGTTAGCCTTAAAGAACTAGCTGAACTCACAGATGGTTCTACAGGGGCTGACATATCATTGATATGTCGGGAGGCAGCTGTTGCAGCAATTGAGGTTTGTTGTCATTTGTCAACATGATTTCTGATGGATGTGTTGTCACTTGTCACATATTATATTAATTAGTAAAATCTGTTGTGATGTTATGTTACCAGGAGAGCCTTGATGCTTCAGTTATAACAATGAAGCATTTAAAGATGGCAATCAAACAGATCCAGCCATCAGAAGTCCAATCCTACCAAAAGTTGTCAACAAAATTTCAAAGGGCCGTCCACTGCTGTGATATAAAGGATGAATTCAATCATATGCAGCGTGACAGTAGATCTACTCGGTTCAACATTTGGTAAAAATTTCTTATGCCAGCTTGTGATATTTAGAATGTCTTTGGGTCTGCAAGATGGAATTAATGGGTTTTGACGTTTTGTTGATCTCAGCTGGAAACTGATTTTATTTACAACTTCAGTTTTGACTAAATTATCTTTTTTTTTTTTTTTAATTTCTCTGAACAAACAGGAAGTTCCTCTATCAGTTTCCAGCTTCCATCTTCAATTTGAGAACTGCTCGAACTAGTTAACCACAGTCCTCAGAGAACTGTTACGTTTGTTATATTCCATTGATTGGGTTCATGTGCATTATTACATGAGGATCATCTGCACTGCAAACTGGCTAGATTGAGCCTTTATTAAAAGTATGAGGGCCGTATCATGTTCCTGAGGCTGTGTTTATTTGCTTTGAAGCACAATCATGGGGATCAATGTCCTGCACCAACAGAGGAGTCAAGTAAAAGAAAAATGTGTTAATTGCCCAAATTTGTGCTGAATCATGTTCAGCTTTCCTTTGGAAGATTAGCATGTTTTGAGAATGATTACTAACGTGGTCTCACTTGGAAGTTTTGATTGCTTCAATAATTGTTACTTTTGAAGGTGAGAGAGGTAGCAATGTCATCTGAGGAACTCGGCCATCCATATCTGCGTCATTTTCAACATGGCAATTTGATGCAGATCTCGACCACACAAATTTGTATACAAAATCATAAATTAACAAGTTTGTTGATAAAACATAGCAGCGCTTGAGGAATATGTACAGTGTATTAGCTGAGAGCAATTCATATGCAGAATTCGTTTTCTTTTTTGGGCTAATTCAATGCGTTATGTTGTACTCTTCGAGTATTTTGAACAGACACCTACTGGTAATGTCACAGAAATTGTAGATGAAATTTATTGACTAGAAGATGATTACACGATTTTATGTTCAAAAGTTTCTTCGAAAAGTTTATTTGGTTAACTTTTATAGTTACTGCATTATAGACTCATCATTAGTTATGATTATTATCTGAATAAAAAGAGGTTATGGTTGTTATTATTAGTCTTCCTTTGTTTCATGATTGCACTGGGCTCACTGAATCTACTCATTGAACTGTACAAGTAATTTTTTTCTACATTTTTTTACGCAAATCTATTTCCCCACTCGTAAAACTATCTCTAACCAGTATCCTTAGTCATGAATGATGCCTCCTTTTGGGCATGAGATTTTTGTTTTTGGTCAATGTGACTTTTGGGACGAGATTAATCATTTTTTGGGTGTTCGATTATTTACCCTTTGCCACGTGTTTTCTGTAAGATTTGAATTCCTAAACTTCCACCATAGTTTGTCAATATAAAATTCAGGTTGCCAGCTGAGTTAGATCTTGATAATTTTTCTATGATGATTGGATAAAACACCATGGATTTAAGATTCTTTACCATTTGGTAGTTGGTTTCTTAGACTCAGGTTCATATGAATATTTAACATTTTTAGTGTGGTTGGTTGCACGTTTTTGATGCAATTTTTCACATTTATTTAAAAGCGAATAGTTATTACTTCCACGTTTTATGATGAATTAACGTAATTTTTTACTTTCTAACGCGTTTCTAAACATGCTATTTAGCAATAACGTGACCTAAATTTTCTCAAATCTTTACTTTTCTGTTATTGTTTAAGTTATTATTTAACTAATAAGATATATTTACGTCAACTCGTCACTTACTAGTTTAAAAAAAATAAAATTAGATGGTAAAATAATAATAATATTTTTTTCATTAAGCACCATTTGAATGTTTCATTTTATACAAGCCTAAAAATCTTTCCAAAAAGAAAAAGAAAACGTAAAAAATATTCTTATATCTATTTGTTGGATTTGATCTTGGAATTCAGGGATATTATTGCTCCAATAAAATAGGGTGTTTATTTGCTATTTAATTTTTAAACATTGAGAAATGTAGGTATTGTCAACGTGAAATTATTGAAGCAGCTAATTTTATATGGAGGAAATGTAGAACACAATGTATGAAGACAGGGTGTGTTGGATATTTCTAATTCTAGGTATATAGATATATTTAGTTTTGAAGTGGAGGGCATTTTTGATGAATATTCCTGGCAGAGGAAAGGGGGGAGAAACAAGTTCAGTACAACACAACAGAAGAATACAATGCAAATGTCATAAATGCCAAAACATTAATGATAGAAGAGATACACCTGTCATGATATGGGTATTTTGTTAAAACATCAAACATGGGTATCACATGGGGGGTAGGCTTATCATATTAGTTTGATTCAATTGGTGTTGGCAATGCTGCACGAGAAAACATGCCTTTCTAGGGACAATAATTGCGCCATCTCCTTTTGCTAATAATAGCTAGACAAACCCGCAACCCCTCATGCGTCTAGTGTTTCCACCTCACTTTATTTACATTTAGTGCAATCTCTGATTGGGGGTATAAATCCATATCTGCAGCCAACAGGTATCCCACTTCCAACACTTCCCTTCTAGGCATTCATCTTTCTTTATTACTATTACTATTACTATTACTATTACTATTTCCTTCCCCTAATTATTTTTTAAACCTCATTTAATTAATTAACCTCACCCGTCAATTTCCCTCCTCAGTCAAATCGAATTTTAACTTTGAAACCGGAGACATCATGAAAGGAAAGCAAACACCAGCTCAACTTATTCCCTATCTACAAAACAAGAAATAAATTCCACAAAGCCAAGAATCTTTGCATCTCTCTCCACATTCCCTTCCTCATCTCAAATCTTTCCCATTCCCGTACAATTCATCCTTATTGCCCACATCCCAAATCTCCCACACCTACCTCCACCCACCGTGCATTCCACGCGCCATTGCCTCTGCCGGCCCAACCAACATCTTCCTTAGTAGTTAGTACTCACCCCATTAATTAAAACGCTAAAAACAAAAAACCACTCCAATTCAGACATTAACCGAGTCAGCAATGCTAAATTTAAAATGAGAATATAGGGAGTGGATGACGGAGGCGCGTATAGGAAACGCACCACCAAGGAAAGAAAAAAAGAAAGCTAGAGATCTCGCAACACTCACTCTCAAGTAAGAAGACCCCCAAATCCCGGAAAAATAAAAATCATAAGAAAAAGCATCAGCAACAGTACCCACAATAAAAAGCTGAAAAGAAAGAAAAACAAGATCCACCTCGAACCTCTCTCCACACCACCAGTCTCTCTTTCTCAATCAAATTGTAGAGAGAGATTCCTCATCCCCTGGCGTTAAATTAACAAAACGCCAATCGAGTCCTCCAATTCGACAAATGAGGGAAGAGGATTCCAATTGGTTCTCGCGATGGGAAGAGGAACTCCCATCTCCGGATGAACTCATGCCCCTATCGCAAACCCTAATCACACCCGATCTAGCCATGGCCTTCGACATCCGAAACCCTCACACCACGACCGCCGCGCAACAACAGCAGCACCAGCCTCCGCCGCCCTCCAACCCTTCCTCGCTCCCCAACCCGCAGCCCACCTCCGCCGAGTTCGCCGACTCCGCCGAGCTCGGCTCCGGCACCGCCGGCGAGGAGCCCGCCCGCACCCTCAAGCGCCCCCGCCTCGTCTGGACCCCACAGCTCCACAAGCGCTTCGTCGACGCCGTCGCCCACCTCGGCATCAAAAACGCCGTTCCCAAGACCATAATGCAGCTCATGAGCGTCGACGGCTTGACCCGCGAGAACGTTGCCAGCCACCTCCAGAAGTACCGCCTCTACCTCAAGCGCATGCAGGGGATTACCTCCGCCGGGGCCGGCGGCCCTGGCGGTGCCGCCTCCGCCGCCGACCCCGCCGCCGACCACCTCTTCGCCAGCTCCCCGGTTCCCGCCCATTTCCTTCACCCCGCGGCGCGGCCGAATTCGGACCACTTCCTGCCGTTTGTGCCGGTGCCGGCGCTGCACCACCACCAGCAGCAACAGCAGCTCCCC